GCCGGCGGCCGGCGGGCCCCCCGCCGCGGCTCCTGGGCCCACCCACCACTAACGGCCCGGGGAAGCTCGTGCCGGCCCCAAGCCCCCATCTGCGGGCTCAGCCCAGCTCCAGCGCGCGCTCCCGTTTCCCGCCCCGGCCCTCCCCGCCCTCGCTTCGCGCCTGCGCGCGGCACTCCCCTCCGCCGGCCGGAGGATACGCCCGAGCGGTGCGGAAGCGCCCCCTGCCGGTGGCGGCGAAGAGGCGGTGCCCCCGTTTGGGCGGGCCCCTCTCGGGCACCTCGGTGGCGCCATGGCCGGCGGAGCCGCCTTGCCCCGGCTTGGGAAGACGCTTGCGCCGCCGCTGTAGTAAAAGGAATAAGGGAAGGTTAGGGGCGTTAGGGGAAGCCCTGCGAGCTCTGCAGTGTTGCCGTTTTTTCTGGGATTTTAGCCTGCGTTTTCTTCTGCCCAGCTCTAAACTTGCTTCCAACTAAAAAACACCACAAAAACCAACAAAACCAAGCCTAAAAAAGCCCAAGGCTCTCTCACTCTCCAAAAGAGAGAAGAAAAAAAAACATTGCTGTTTTTGAGATGTTTTTACATTTAGACTGATCAAAGGGCAACCAATCCCCCAAATCCCCCATTCTTTCAAATACAAACCTTTCCATTTGAAGCAATCATTTTTAAAAAAATACATCCTTAGAAGCTGGCATCTCCTTCTCCATCTTCCCACACCACCTGTGGCTATGCTACTTCTCCCTACCTTCCCAGTGTCAACAGGCAAAAGAACCACTGGCCGCATGGCTAAAGCCAAAACTTGTCCTGTGAGCCCCTCAACAGTTACCACACTGCCTAACACAGCAGGTGAGAAAGCAGAACAAATGAGGATTTCTTGTATATAGATCTACTTTTTTTATTAAGAGGACTTCTAACTAGAGGGCAATGAGGATTTCCATGCAAGTATGATGACCAGACTTAGAAAGCAAGGACAGCCCAAGCCCTGGTGCTTGATTTGAAATCTTATGTGCACAGCAGAAAGCACAGAAGTTTACCCACATAGTAAAACCAGGAAATTCCTTGAAATTCAGCTAACATGTACCCTGGATTATAACAGCCTTACTTTCTCCATATGTAGAACACTTCTGCACCAGGTCTGCCACAGCCACAAAAATACCTGAAAGAAGTGGGAGTCTCTCGCGCTGGGGAACTGATTTGGCTAAGGATAAAACTCAACAAGGAGAGCTGACCTGGTCTGACCCAAGAGCTTGCTGTCACCCGAAGAGGGAGGTGGCCCCACCTCCCTCACTCTTACCTTTGCATTCCTGTCACCTCTGCCTGAGCACCACAGCGACAGCAGCTCGCTAATATGGCCTCGGAAAACAGCTTTGTTCCAAATCCTATTACAGTAACAGGCCTGTAATTGAAGAACAGAATTCCCTGTGCAAAACCGAGCATCTGAAGAAGCAGCCAGCTGGATTGGGGCTCAGTTAGGATGCCCACCTGGTCTGAGGGCATGCTTGGTGCCCTATTCTGCTCAAAACCAGACTGAGCCAGCTTTCTCACCAGGTAGAATACTTAAAATAAGCCAGAACCATTAGCCATTCTGCATAGTATTTATTTATAAACAAAAACATTGCATTTGATCACATACAAGTTTTGATCCAGCAAACTCAGATTTATATATTTTTATTTTTTACAAAAAATACATTTTAACAAGTAAATAAAAACCATTTCCATTAGTCCACTGTTCTCCAAAGTGTAAATGTACAGCATAAATTTGCCATTTTTAATATAGACATATGCTATATTTTGCCAGTTGTCTATAAGAAATTCAAGTACATTCTGATGAAACATAATAAATAATGATTAAGAAATGGAAAGCTACACACGAATAAGTGGAAAATAAAAACTTTTTAAAAGTCATACAAACAGTTGTATTACAGTCACCTCTTCCAATATCAAACATTCAGTTTATCCATTGAACAACAGTATTGCGTTATCCTTATTGGCATATTAGAACAGATAGCATCTTAAAATTGAAATATTGTCCATCGAAAGAAACTGACTGAACTACAACTAAAAGGACCATAATCTACTTAAATCAGGACAAGTAGCAGTGCAAAGGCCAAAAATGTTGGCTTTATAAAGAAAAGACACTTCCTAAAATGAACATATTGAACGCTACTTCATTATTTTTAGAAATTTATAAAAGCAACAACCATTTTTCTTGATCACTGTTGGGATGAGAAATACCACCACAAAGTAAAAGGTGGATTTGCTGTCTTTGCCACCTCTTTTCTCATTCCTGATGACTTCAAAAAAACCTCATGCAATTGGCTGAGAATACTGTCACCATCATAACAGCGATTTCTCTTGGTACTGTTTTTTTCCAGGAAGATTTTGCATGAGCCTTAGAGTATAGAACTAGTGGCTTAGGAGCCACTATAAAACACTTAAAAGAAAAATTAAAAAAGGAGGGGGGAAGAGGGACTCCAGCCCTATCTTGCCTATAATGAAAGCTGTCTAAACTTTAAGATAGCATAAACAAGTTACATTTGAACATTTTCAGCTTTAGCTCACTCTGTAGTAGTTAACTCCACAGATAAGGAAACATGCCCTCTTTTCAGAGTACTTCCATTCAATTGGTTAGTCAAGGATTTAGTGGTCTGACTCATTCGAACTCAGCGTGGTGCATTCTGATAGGATGGTAAGTTTTGGAGGTGAGTCTTGGCACCCTCACATCTCAGCCTTAAAGGCTCCAAGGCAGATTATATGTTTAATACTGGAACAATTTGGTTGAGATAATAGACATAAACATTTTTATACATCACAGAACCTCTATGTCAACCCTGTTCAGCACTGGGCTTCCGTGAAAAAAGGTCTTCAGGTTTCAAGAAGTGGTGGTATTTGTTGCAGAGCAGAGGTTACCCAGGACTCCTACCCTAGATTTGGATATGCCACCCCAGTTTGTTCTCCTCAATGGTCCACCAGGATGTTTCCCAGCCAAGCAGCTGCCTTTGATGTGGAAAAATGCAGGCAAGAGCTGTGTGTGGACCACTGAAGTAATGTACTGGCATGTAACACAGCTGGTCTGGTGACCCAGCACTGCTGTGTTCAAATGGGAACTTCAGGGTAGATCCCTCTGACTATGCTCAAATAGAGACAGGTTCTTGGATGGAGCAAGCAACAATCAAGTAGCAAGGGCAGGACACAAACAGGCATGTGGTTTCCATCACTGAAAAGGCTGAAGCATCCTAACTGTATCCCATGGAGCTGTTTATGCTGTAAAATTATGTACAGATAGTGTTCTCTAGTGACATAAAAAAAATCCAAAAGGGAGTCAAAGATCACCTGTTTTCAGGATGAAACCCTTAAAGAACTTATCTTCTTTTGGTAGTAAAACACAAATATTACCCATATGGCCAAAATGTTCATCTACTAGTTACATTTCTATCCCATTAATGCAACATTACAACATTGCTGACAGCAATGAAACAATACTGTAGTATACAATAACACTACTAAGGTTTGTTCTGAGAAGAAAATCAAGAACAGTTCTTTTTTGCATTTTTTATGTATTCCACTACTTAGATTTTAGAAGAGGAAATAATTCCAAGTATTAATACTCATATAAGATCAACAGTCAACAAAAAAGCTTTTGTAGAAAAGTATTAAGATTCCTAATAATAAAAATATTTGCAAATTTAATTACAAATACATTTTAAAAGCAAAATCCTTAATTAAGTACATCAAGGTTGTTCAATATCAACAGTGCTCCTTTAAGAGGAAGTGAAGATAACACCCACTGCAACTGTGGGAACATCTAAACGTGTAAAGTATATACACTTATTGAATATAAAGTGAAGAAGCAGTATATACAATTTTGAACCCACACAAAGGTTAAAATGGAAGATCAAGTAAGAGTCTGCTAAAATCTTAAGACATTAGGTACTACTGATTTCATGCATTTGTTCTACAACTTGTCCTAAAATTTCATCTACTACATCAATATCATAATTTACTTGCTGCAAGTCTAGATCAGGCATGATTGTAGCCAGAAGCTGTCCAACATTCACTCGAAGAGAGCGGAGTTTCAGGCTGTGAAGAAATCATGAGATATGATTAGATGCAGAGGAAGTTTTACATTCACATACACAGTACTTTATTTAACAAAGCTGGACTAATGCTCTATACTGGAAAGGCTCTGTACATGACTTCCACAAGACAACAAAAAACTGATGCAGCTTTAACTGCATCAAAAGATAATTTCAAAATCTACCAGTTTTTTGAAACTGAGCCTCTCGAGTTTTAATTTTAAAGGTGCGTATTTCCTTAGTTGCAAATAAAGACTAAGGGCTAAACTGAATTCTGCCTTTCCCAAAACAGATCAGAATTATTTCTGATTTTTCTTTTTAATTTAGCAAATAAGCACGGGCACAATCCTTTATCCCACACCACCTTTTTATTTCTCAAAACAATATTAAACCTCAGTATTTTTATACATTTAGAAACATAAACTACTACCACCTATGGGAACAAAAGGCAAGAAAAAGAAGAGAGGAGAAGGCAAGAAAGAGCAGTTTGTTAAAAGGCTTTAAAACATAAAGAGGAAGTAAGGTAATAGTTATAGTACAGCAAAAATGCTATGCCTCCTCTTTTTGCTTTCTTTCCTGGATCCCCTCGCTCTGTCCTCTTCCTGATCGTATTGGTTCCAAATCACCCATCCGTTCTCTTGAGCATTTCCTTCTACCATCAGTTCCTTTATCATCTCCAGCAGCCAGTCTTCACAGGGCACTCATATCCTGACAGGACTTTTGGTAGAAGTTACTTACAAGTCCTGTGTGCATTTGCTAATTCTTTCAGGAAGCACAACTCAGATGCTATAAGAAGAAAATTAAAACACTGGCAGATAAAGCAGAGACTTAACCATATAAAAAATTCGATTGAAAGGGGTCTGTCACAGACTACATCAGATGCTGTCTCAACATTGCTGTTGCACCACCGCCACCGATTCCAAGAAGTCTAATCTAACCCCAACACATGCGGCCAGACCCGGGGTCTGAGACCCCCAAGCAACAGTGTTGGGCATGTGCACCACTGCCAAGTAGTGGGGGTGGTCAGGCAAAACAGTTCTTGGGATATGCTAAATGGTTCGTAGAAACTAATAAATATGTAGCAAAACAGCCAGTATAAGCCGAAAACTAGCAGCGTGGTGGGGAACCTACAGAAAGCAACACTGAAAGGGACGTACGGAAGAAACGCAAGGACGAAATGCATGTTCTCCCACCAGACTGGACAACAAATTGGACTGATAAGGCATCAATGTTCCGTGGTGGTAACTTCTCCCCTGCCGTTTTTCTCTCTCTTTCCCCTTTCTCATTTGCGTGCCAGTTGTTGGGCAAATAAAACTACTTCATGTTTGACTCCATTTTGAGTCCTAATTCTGTTTCTGGGAATTCAAAGAAAGACGAGTGCCCTGGTCTCTGACTGGAGTGCAACAGGGTCTTTAGAAATCATCCAGCTCATTCTCCCCTCCCCCTCAACACATTCAAAGCAGGGCTTTTCCAACTGCTTAGGACCTTCTCGTGCTTTGAAGCTCTTCAAAGATGGAGATTCCACAATTGCCCTAGGTCCCTTTTTCAGAGTTTAGCTAGCCTTGCCATGAACAATTTTTTTTTTCTTTAATATTTAAGTAGAATTTCCCTTGTTGCAGCTTGTGTCTATTGCCTCTCATCCTATCTCTCTGCTCATGAGAAAAGGCTGGCTTTATCTTTTCTAGATGCTCACACTAGGCAGCAGAAGAAAGCTATAGAATTTTGAGGTAACTCACTGTTGGTAAGGCTATTTCCCTCAGCTTCCCTTTCTATATAAGATGCTCCAGGCCCCTAGCCATCTTGGTGGCCCTTCAGTAGACCTGCTCCAGTACTCCAGTGGCACTCATATACCAAGGAGACCAAAACTGGACACAGTATTTCATGTTTGGTTCCTCAATGCTCAAGAGTAGGGAAGAATCATTTCCTTCAAGTTGCTGGCTGAACTCCTACCAATATAGCCCAGTAGGCACTGGGTTCCCCCACCATAAGAGTGCACTGCTGACTCGTGTTCAACTTTTAGTCCACCAGCATCACAGGCCATCTTCTTCTTCCAAGCTGCTTTCCTATGAGCAGTCTCCAGCTTATTCAATTGCATGAGGTATTTGCAGCACAGGTGCAGAACTTTGTAGTTATCCTTGTTGAATTTTCCAGGAAGTTTCTTTTGACACATTTTTCCAGTTTGTCAAGGTCCCTCAACAGCAGCCCTACTCTCTAGAGTATCAATGGTTCCCTTCAATTTGATGCCATCATGAACTTACTGAGTTAATTTTGCTCTGTTATTTAGGCCATTAATGAAGGCAATCATTACTGGCCTCGATAGGGATCCAGGAGCTCAGCAGTCTGGCTAATTTCACAGCCCACTTCCTAGTCTAGTTAACCAAATCATACATCACAAACTTTGCTATAATGATGTTATGGCAGCTCACATTGAAAGCTTTGCTAAAATGAAGGTGCACAGAGCTGGCCATCTCATTGTAAAAGGCAATGAGGCTGCAAAGGCATGTTTTGCCCTCAGTAAATCCATGCAGGTTGTTCCTAATCACCTTGACTACTATGGGACTGCAGGTGGCTTCCAGGTAGATTTGCTAAACAGTCTTTCCAGGGACTGGAGCTACACTGACCAGGCCATAGTTCTCCCTGTCCTAAACACTGGCATGACAACTGCCTTTTTCCAGCCATCAGGAACACTGACTGCCATATCCCTTTGATACCGTTGCAAGACTAACTCTCCATCAATAGGTCAGCTCCCTCTGAAGCATCTCATCAGGTCCCATGGACTTGTGTATGCTGAATTTGCTTAAATGGTCCCTTAATTCATTTGCCTTCTATTACAGGTAAAGCTTCACTACCTAAGATTACCACTTGGCTCAGGGACCTAGGCAGACAGAGGGCAGACCTTACCTGTAAAGGAGATACCTCAGTAATTTGTGCCTCATGCACCCTTTGCTGCTAAGCACATGCCCCACTGAGCAGCAGGCACACATTTTTCTTAGTTGTCCTGTTGCTGCTGCTGTGCTTACAAAAGCCCCACCAGTTTTAACTTCAGCTGCACTCTGGCTTTCAATTCCTTCCTACATGCCCAGGCCATGTACCTATATTCCAAAAACTTCCCTGCTTCTGTCTGGTATGTGTACTTCTTTTGTGTGTTTGCTATTTCTGTTAACTGAGAGCTGCAAGCTCTCTATTTATGAGTTTAAACCCTTATTTAATTCAAAGGTACACTCTGGACACAACCTAGTTGCATAGGATTGGTCTGCAACAAGAAGTTCTTACAAAAAAGGTAAGTTTCAAAACCAAACCCAGATTCTTTTCAGTAGAGTACTACTGATCCAAGAAAGAAAAATAGAATATAAAAGTGAAGTTCATCTTCACAGCATAAGATAAAGATCACCCTCTCTTTCCTGCCTCCTTTCTCTCCTTGTTCTGCAAGTCAGGTCTAGAAATGATACAAATTTTTTTATATTTTAAGAAGTATCAGTATGGCATTCTACTGTGCACTGGTCAACCCTGCTCACACAAATACCTAAATAATAAAAATAAATTAAATAAATCACTTAATTAAAAAATGTTACTGAGTTAGGAGTCACAAGAGGCAGTAGAAAAGAATTGCAAACATCACATTTTATTATATGATTATCACACATGACCTTCAGAATGTTTTGGGTACAATCAGCCAGCCAAAATCTTGTTTGAAATATAGTCTAGAAAGATCAAAATTGATACCTTTCTCCATCAGAAAAATTTACAGAGTCCTCTACATTACTGGTGGTAGAATCATTTGCACGTGCTACTGCTTGAGGAATTGAAGCTTTTAACTGTGCGATTTCTGCTTTGAGTTCTTCACATTGACAGGCCATTTGATTTTTTTCCACTTCTAGTAGTTCAATCTGGCAAGTAAATAAAAATATTTTTACATAGCAAATAAAATAGTGGTGGATGAAAATAAAGACAACTTAACAAAGGTAAACGATTTAAATCTGTATGAGCTGACTGCTTTTAATTAACTTTTCAGTGAGATTTTACAATCTGACAACCTAGACAAACTGCTTTCAAAATAGCCAGCTGTCAGCTGAACCACTGTATGTGTGCGTTCCCTCTAAGCGTGGTCAGTCTCTCTTTGTCTTGCAGTTAGAGCCTTGCAGTCTCTCTCAAGTTTGCTCTATCTATGGAAGCAAAAAAAGCTCCTAGGTTAATTTACTTTTTCTTCCCTGTTTCAGGTGGCTTCATTTAGTTAGTGGACTGAACTACATAACTCATTGTATACTAGAACTGCTATGAAAGAGCCAATAAAAACAAAGTAATTGTTAGCTTTAAGGTTGTCACTGTTTTAACAAACATACCTCACTTTTGTATCTGTCTCTCTCAATGGTGCACTTGTCCAGTTGCCTGAAGACATTGTCCAGCTGCACAGCAATTTCATCTACCTCACTCCTACTTTCACCATCAGCACACTTGCTGCATTCAGTTTTTAAGTTCTGCAGGGTACTGCATTGTTCCTTTAGTTTTGCTACTTCTTCTAAGGCCTGTTCATAGAGAATGGTCACTTCTGCCAAACTTTTTCCATGGATGTTTTCTTCTTCAAATGAAGAAACTGTTTCAGTTGACTGATGGCACATTTCTTTTTTTACATACTTGTTATTCATTTCTAAAATCCTCTGTTCCAGTGTTTCTACTTGTTTGGTTAATACTTCACATTTGTTTTGGTACATATCTTTTTCTTTGTTTAATAACTGCAGCTGATTTTTCAGTTCCTTTCCAAGATCTACAGATGTCTCAGAAATACCATTAACATTGTGCTGTTTAGCTTCCACCTCTGCCCTGGGAACTTGAATGTCGATGTCATCTTCCACCTCTTCCTTTTTAACAACTAAGCTGGGGAGCTCTGTCTGCGTCGCTGAGGTCAACTGTTCACTTTTTGATTCTGAAGTAGCTGCGCTGCAAGGTTCTCCAATATCAGAGTTTTCTTTCCGCTTCTGCTCTTGATCCAAATTAATACATTCAGTCTTTACTACAGGAACATCAGAATCTGCTGAAGGCTTTGGAGTACTGCTCTCTTCTAAAATGATGACATCATCATCATCATGGCTGTTGAACGTTCTGTCATTTAATCGAGGCGTCTTTAAAGACACAGGTGTCACAGAATTAGGTGTCTTCCGTTTAAGACTGAGAAGCAAAATTTTAAACTCATTATTTTATTGCTTCAGTACTGCAAAGTCATTTGTTTCAAGATACGTTTAGTGTTTCTATAAGCACTATTAAAAATTACCACCCAGTAGCTAGAAATGGATGTCTCCCTGCACAGTATTTTAAGATGTGTAGTCAGAGTAAATACACCAAATGAATACATTCACACATGTTGAAACACACTCAGACTCAGTATTTACAGCAACTTCCCCCTCCCTCCACCCCACACCCATTCCCTAACCAACAGAGGTTAAGGAAAACACTGTGTAGTGTGTTTAACACAATACAGTCTTTTCCTAAATAGGTAAACCACTACACCATTTTTTTCTTGCTAGTGCACAGTATTTTTCGCTGCATTCACTTCTGTACTTCACAAGGTTTCTAGATACCTTTAGTCAACCTGCTGCTTCCTATACTCCCATGAGTGAAATATAAATTTTGGCAGCTATCACCTAAAGATGGGACTGCACCCAACACCATAATTTTCATTAACAAGTTATTAATTTTAGAAATAAATTGGAATTTACTTTGTACAGGTTCACTAACCTGTTATCAGAATCAGAATGAGGTGTAGATACTGATCTATTTAAAATAAGCAGAGGTCTTTTGACAGAAGCATTTGAAGTTTCTGGTAAAAGTGATCTTGAAACAGCTTCCTTTCCACTCACAGCTGAGAATGTTTTGAAGTCTTTACTTGAAGAAACAGGTGTTTTTAAAAACATTTCATTATTGATCTATAAGGTAATATTAGTTAAGAATGAAAAGAAACAGACATTAGATTCTTCAGAATAGACTTAAGCAGTTCTTCTATCTGCCAACACCTAAACTCCAACCGACATCTCTTATGTATACTACAAGGATCTCCTTGAACCCACGCTCAGACTTTTGCATTAAGAAAGGCTAACTAGACTCCACATTGCCAACCCCAGCTTTCTTAACTTAGTGATCGCACAACCCCTCCCCTCAAATTCTGCTGATGCGTGTGAACCATTTCCTTCATGCTGGTTTAAAGACATACAACATATTAGAAAGCTGCAAGTTCTATATCATGACAACAGACTTCTGACAGATTTCTCAGAGGACTTTGAATGCTGTACACCAGCTGCACACTCCCCTCCATGCACAGGTTTATTGCCATCAGAAAGCAGCTTTCTGATCTTACAGTTTTTTCTCTAGATACAGCTATTTTAAAGTACTGTGTAGAATCTTCAGCAAGAGTTCTTCCCAAGCTGTATATCTTTGAAGTTTGACCAACCTACACAAAGTATGGGACAGTCATCTCTATTAAAGCTGCTCATAGTTAATTCAGTTTGTCTAAAATGAGTACTTTACTTTTAGAAATTTCTTTTGTACTTGGTAAAGGCAGAACTATTAATACAATAAAGTATATGCCAGGAAACTGTCTAGGAGGTTCCTGGAGTATGTGGAAGACAGCTTCCTGACACAAAGAAGCACCCTGCTGGACCTGTTGTTTGTGAACAGAGAAGGCCTCGTGGGTGATGTGATGGCTGGAGGATGCCTGGGGCACAGTGATCATGGAATGATAGAATTCTTGATTCTTGGAGAAGTAAGGAGGGCAGTCAGCAGAACTGCCACCTTGGACTTCCCCAGGGCAGACTTTGGACTGTGTTAGAAGGCTGGCTGACGGAGTCCCTTGGGAGGCAGCCCTGAAAGGCAGAGGAGCCCAGGAAAGCTGGATGCTCTTCAAGAAGAAAATCCTGGAGGTTCAAGAGCAGGTCATCCCCAAAATAAGCTGGCGGGAAAGAAAACTGGCCTGGCTGAACAGAGAGCTTTGACTGGATCTCAGAAAGAAGAAGAAAGTCTATGAGCTTTGGAATAAGGGGGCAGGCAACCCAGGAGGACTACAAGGATGAAGTGCGGTCTTGCAGGAAGAAAATTAGAAGAGCTAAAGCCCAACTAGAATTTGAATTGGCTAATTCTGTGAAAGATAAATAATGTTTCTATAATTACATTAACAACAAAAGGAGGGCCAAGGAGAATCACCATCCTTCAGTGGATGCAGGAGGAACCATAGTGACAAAGGCTGAGGTACTTAATGCCTTCTTTGCCTCAGTTTTTAATAGTAAGGTCAGCCGTTCTCCAGGTACCCTGAGCCTGAAGACAGGGATGGGGAGCAGAACAAAGCTCCCATGATCCAAGAAGAAATGGTTCGTGATCTCCTCTACCTATTAGATAAACACAAGTCTATGGGGCCGGATGGGACCCACCCAAGGCTACTGAGGAGCTGGCCCCTTTCCATCACCTATCAGCAGTCCTGGCTGACTGGGGGGGTTCCACTTGACTGGAGGGTGGCAAATGTTTACAAGAAGGGCTGGAGGGAGGATCTGGGGAACTACAGACCTGTCAGTCTGACCTTGGTGCTGGGGAAGGCCACAGAGCAGATCATCTTGAGTGCCATCACACAGCATGTCCAGGACAACCAAAAGATCATTTCCAGTCAACATGGGTTTATGAACGGCTGCTTGACTAACCTGATCTCCTTCTATGACAAGGTGACCTTCTAAGTGGATGAGGGAAAGGTTGTGGATGTTGTGTACCTGGACTTCAGGAAAGCCTTTGTCACAGTTTCCCAGAGCATTCTGCTGCAGAAACTGGCTGCCCATGGCCTGGACAGGAGTGCTCTCCTCTGGGTAAGAAACCAGCTGGGTGGCCAGGCCCAAAGAGTGGTGGTGAATGGAGCTAAATCCAGTTGGAGGCCAGACACAAGTGGTGTTCCCCAGGGCTCAGTGTTAGGGCCAGTTCTGTTTAACAGCTTTATCAACAAAATGAGAGGATTGAGTATACCCTCAGTGAGTCTGCAGATGACACTAAGTTGGGTGAGAGTGTTGATCTGCCTGAGGGTAGACAGGCTCTACAGAGGGACCTGGACAGGCTGGATCAATGTGCCAAGGCCAATTGTATGAGGTTTAACAAGGGCAAGTGCTGGGTCCTGCACTTGGGTCACAACAACCCCATGCAGTGCTCCAGGCTTGAGGAAGACTGGCTGGAGAGCTGCCTGCAAGAGACGGACCTGGGGATACTGGTGGACTGCCAGCACATGAGCCAGCAGTGTGCACAGGTGGCCAAGAAGGCCAACAGCATCCTGGCTTGTATCAGAAATAGTGTGGTCAGCAGGACCAGAGAAGTAATCCTTCCTCTGTACTGGGCACTGGTGAGGCTGCACCTCAAATACTGTGTTCAGTTTTGGGCCTCTCACTACAAGGACAATATTGAGGCAGTGGAGCATGTCCAGAAATGGGCAACAAAGCCGATGAAGGGTCTGGAGCACAAGTCTTGTGAGGAGCGGCTGAGGGAGCTGGGGTTGTTTAGCCTGGAGAAAAGGAAGCTCCTTACCACTCTCTACAACTACCTGAGAGTGTAGCAAGGTGGGGGTCAGTCTCTTCTTCCATGTAACAAGCGATAGGATGAGAGGAAATGGTCTCAGGTTGCAACAGGGGAAGTTAAGATTAGACATTAGGAAAAACTTTTTCACTGAAAGGGTTATCAGGCACTGGAATGGGCTGCCCAGGGAAGTAGTGGAGACACCATCCCTGGAAGTATTTATGGAACAAGTAGATGAGGTGCTTAGAGACATGGTTCAGTAGTGGACAGGTTATGGTTGGCCTCAATGATCTTAAAGGTCTTTTTCCAACTAAATGATTCTATGTTTTAGGTTAAAACAACACATACAAAAATCTCTTCTCTAGAAATAGAGTGATCTTAGGTTAGCATTTTACTTTGGAATAAACTTAAACTAAATCACACTTCAGGAACTTGATTCTGAGCTACGATCTACACATTCTCATCGCTTAACCCTGCTGATTTGAATCTGCATTTAATTTGAATTTGAGTGCCTCTTGCAGAAGTACAGCTATTACAAGTCTGTTCATACCCACCCTTTGCCCCAGTTTTAAGCGCATCTTTACTTTCATATCCTCATCGCATCTTCTCTACAATAAATCCCCTTTCAATAATTAGACGTCATGCCATGAAAACAGGTATGAGTGACTGACATGTATTCTAGTGCTACTTTGTGAGAAGGCTTTGTCTCTCTCAAATTCTTAAGTACTACATAGAAAGCAATGAGGTACTTTCCATCAATGGACAGCAGAGATGGGGGATTTTTGGTTTACTAATAGTGAGCATAACCTGTACAGCCATCAAAACAAAACAGGATGTTGAACCAGTCAGTTGGCCACTAGCTAAAGCAAACTCTAACTCAAAGCCCAGCCAATTTGATCAAACTACATAGTATTGTTGCCAGCAAGAACAACTCTGCTACCAAAGTCAGTTCCCTATACACTTCAAGAGTTACCTGGTGGGTGTACTCCAGTCGCTTCTTCAGTTTTTCCCTGTCTCTGCACAACAGCAAGGGAAAAAAAAAAAAAAAAAAGGAGCTTAGATTCAAAATATTAATTCACTGTAAATCCAAGTCAACCCCAAAATCTAAAAGCAAACACAATACTCCTTAACTTAGCTAGATACAATAAAGTTCTAATGAACATAATCTGGTTTATTGAATGAAAATTTTCTGCATGAACTTAGAAGCTAGTATAGCTTACAGGTAGTTATAAGTTCAAACAAGTTCTCTCTCAGATTATGATGCACTTTAAAAAAATGAAGAAAAACCCCAAACTCCCACTTATAGAATGCTAGCCAGCACCCAAGTCAGTTTTTTTCCGTACACCTTAGCTAGGAATCTTCTTAAATAAATGTACTGAGCTGCTTCAACATGGACCTTGAAAATCATAGAATCACAGAATGGTTTGGACTGGAAGGGACCTTAAAGATCATCCAGTCCAAACCCCTGCTATTGACAGGGACACCTCCCACCAGACCAGGCTGCTCAAAGCCCTGTCCAACCTGGCCTTGAACACTTCCAGGGAGGGCACATCCACAACTTCCCTGGGCAACCTGTGCCAGTGCCTCATCACCCTCACAGTGAACAATTTCTAACGTCCAATCTAAAACTACCCTCTTCCAGTTTGAAGCTGTTCCCCCTCATCCTATCACTACATGTCCTTCTAAAGAGTCCCACTTCAGCATTCTCATAGGCCCCCTTCAGGAACTGGAAGGCTGCAATAAGGTCTCCTGGGAGTTTTCTTTTCTCCAGGCTGAACAATCCCAACTCTCTCAGCCTGTCCCCATAGGGGAGGTGCTCCAGCCCTCTGATCATCTTCATGGCCCTCCTTAGGACTCATTCTAACACGTCCATAACCTTCTTGTGTTGGGGGCTCCAGAACTGGACACAGTACTCCAGGTAGGGTCTGACCAGAGCAGAGTAGAGGGGCAGAATCACCTCCCTCGCCCCGCTGGCCACACTTCTTTTGATGCGGCCCAGGACACAGCTGGCTTTCTCAACCATAAGGGCAAATTGTCAGCCCACGTTGAGTTTTTCCAACAACCAACAACCCCAAGTCCCTTTCCTCAAGACTGTTCTCAAGCCATTCTTTGCCTAGCCTATATTTGTACTTGGGATTGCCCTGACACAGAGGCAGTACCTTGTACTTGGCCTTGTTGAAGTCCATGAGGTTGTGATGGGCTCTACTGTCAAGGTCCCTCTGACATGCTGGAGGGGAGGGATGCCATCCAATCACACCACCCAGCTTGGTGTTATTGGTGAACTTGCTGATAAAGATGTTAAAACACCACTGGTCCCAGTACCAATAATAGTTATCTAGACAAGGTCTCCTAACAGCCCTAGTAGCTTGCTTCTCTTTAACATCCCAGACTATCTCATTCTGCTTACTACTATGAGAGAATGCCCCTCAGACCTGTACTTGAACATCAATTGCTGCATTGCTCTCCTTAGTAGCTATTAAATGAGAGGCCCTTTTTTGACTTTCCTAGTTCTGATTTAGAAGAGCAAATAGGTAATAAGACAAAGAGAGAAATCTGAATGTAATGCCAATATGCTAATAACAGAGAAAAGAACAGTGCTATTAATCTGTTCCCAGAAGAGTTGCAATTATACCACAGGTGAGAGAAAAGGGCAGTTAGTTTTCACAGTCCCTTTCTGCTGTTGAGACACTTGTAAAAAAGTCTCTAGTACTCACTTTTTCTTGTAAGTTTTCTCATATGTAGGATGTATTAAGTCATCATCTTCTGGTTCTTCTGGCACATTACAATTCCTGAGTTAAGGAGAGGAAAAAAAAGAGATGAGAGAAAGAGCTTAATATCCATGCTTGTAACAGGTGATAAAATAAGAACTAAAAGCAGTATTTAGACACTCGTAGAAATCTAATTTTACCGGAATTGTGGGTCAGGGTTCAGTGAGCAGTACCACTTTTCTGGCAAGTGCTCTATTCCATCTGGCAGCTTCCGCCATTTCAGACACGCATCACATTGTACCCATGTCTGATCAGGTTGTTTTCTGTAATGAAAAAAATAATCAGAAGTTTCACATGAAAAGTTCATTTTCATGACTGAGAGTGTAAAACAGTAAAAACAGTATGTAAATGTCTTCTATTTAGAAGTGATACTCACTGTATCTCCTCAACCGGCAAAGCTAATGGATATTCTTCATTTTTCTTTGCTTTCATTTCATTCCAGTAATCATTAAGCTTTTCTCCTAATGCTGCTATTGTAAGTCTAAAAATAAAAGTTTTTAAAAGATCACCTTAAGTAACCAAATCCTAGCACAGAAAGAACCTTTATCAACCACAGTGAAAGAATAAGCATATGAACCACTCTAGTATTTCTATTTGCACAACAGTAAGCTTTTTGCTTTTTGAAAACCCTAGAAATTAGGAAGCGTGTGAAGTCATGTTTATCAGCAAAGAAAAAACTGGAAATACAAGGTGGAACAGAGACAAAGACTGAAATTAAGAGTGCTTAATTCAGAAGTGCTGTGGGTGTACAGTGCAAGCCCTGAAGCTATCTTACCAGTTCAACCTCAGTCATAGCACAAACAAGCACAAAACCAACTCTTGTCAGTCTAGTACCAACCTGTGTATTTGGCTGATGTTTCTGTACATCCATGAACTGCAGGTTTGTCACTACTCTAAGCTGAAGTACAACAATGCTACACGGAGACTGCAAATGTACAATCACTTTAACACAGTATAAAGTCTACGTGCTGCTCAAAGGAGCAGGCCAGCTGGATTAGTTTCCTGATCAAGGCTCACTGTACAGCAAAATGCCTAGTAGGGCTGGTGCACACAGGAAGGAGTGGTGAGAAAGAGTAACAAGCCCCACAGGCGACGCAGAGGTAAGGGTGCCTCTTGTCATCATGCTGAATTTATGTCAGAGTAAAGCGGCAGAATAACCAGAGCCTGAAGTCAGTCCTTCCTTGCCTGGCTTATTCCAACACCTACATCACTCTGTCCCTTGAACTAACACAAAAGCGTTTGTGCAGTGAACTAGTGTGACCTAGAGAGTTTTGATCTAGATCATCTCTGAACCCAAGTCATGAATTCTGTGACAAAAAAAGGAAGTAAGCACAAGGGCAGAAATGAGCAGCAATACATGAACAGGATCACGTCTCTCTTCTTGAGAGGGAAGAGGGGCAGGTCAGCTTACACTGAAATTACAGTATCAATTTTATGTTTCTGTTTTGGGCCTGAAAGTTACTTTTTGAAAGCCTGTAGCGCTCTTTGCAGAAAAACCTTTTTAAAAGATCTGTCAAGCCTAGTATCTCTATGCCCACATTACAAGTGTTTCTAAGAAGTAACAAGTAAAAAGCATTCAATGATTACTGTACCAGCCTGTAAGAACACTGGGCAAACCTCAGTCAACTATGACTATTCTACTGCATTCCTCATTACTCCCCCTCTGACAAGGGAACTGTTAGTACCACAGCACATGAAGTGGTTGAGAGAATATCTTTATTGAAAAAACTAACACAAGAGTCATTTTCCACTCTGACAGATACCATGATCTGCTTTACCATGTGTTCTTGTTAATGGTTCTGCTAGCAAAATGGTGGTAGAAACACAGGAACTGCTTAAAGCTGGCAATGTCATTGCAAAAAGCAGCATAGAGTGTGGGTACCACTTAAAGATACAGGCAAACTGGACTGTAGTAGTAGCAACAGCTATCAGGTTTGCTGTTTCTCCTCCACTGAGGGATGCTGTTTCAACAGAAGGAATGAC